GGACGTTAGGAAGAGGAGTGTACTTTAGAGTATATAGCTTGAGCCTGCGGCCCTTCACGCCATATACCCTTCGGGAGGTCGGCCGCAAGGGCGGTTGCGCCCTTGCCGCCTCGGCGTTAAATACAACAACAACAACAACATCTTCACCGTCTGGTGTACAACACGTACCAGCAGCAAGATGATGACTAATCAGTCTCAGAGGTCTGAAGCATAAGTAGCATGGCCGATGATCATCGCCATTGTTGCCCCCAGAAAACAACTGCTGAGAAGATTTGTCTTCTCTTGCTGGGTGATCTTTCAAATTGTCTTATACAGAAATAACATTATTGAAGCAGAAGGATGAATCCACCGGTTGAGCTGATCGTTAGGACGAGCCATTGACACAACAGATTGTCGACTACTATCTAGTGCCTAGCTCCGTTCTCTCGCCTGGAAGACCACGAGTATCAATCGCCCACTTGTACCTGCGGATTTCTCGTTAATAGTGGGTATAAAGTCTCAACTCTTAAGATCATAGAAAACAGACCCATCAATGACGAGAGGCGCACAAAAGGTTACGCATATACTACTCCAAAGTCGACACGAGATATTATTATATCGTATTAATGAGTATCCTACCTTTAGGAGCGACTACCTCAAGAAGATAAGATAATTATAAGTATAGCTTGAATACTTAGAAGATAGCAGAGGCGCAGGAAGACGCCAGCGGCTGACAGGCACTGATCTAGGTAATGTTTGCAGCTCAGATGGAGTGTAAAAATGTCACTCAGTCTCTCTCACTCAGATGGACACCGGCAAAATCGATATCCATTCCGCACTCTGCTGGGCGGGGACCGCATTGTGCTGTCTCGTTCTCAAGATGCTGGCTCATCTTAAATACTCCGTCCTGCATCCATCATACCCCGAAAGTAACGAAGCCGACATACCACGGCTAATCCCACCCATATAAAAGATTCAATTGTCACCCAAAAGCTTTCCCGTCCCACACAAATTGAAGTAGCAAAGAGTTGAGGATGTTGGAGTGTTTGCATTTCGCCTTTGCGAACTTCAACAGCAGCGAAGTAGCTAACGCCCCTGTCTCAGCCATCTCGCATCACCACCCCTAATGCTATTCGTCTTCCATGTTCTTCAGTCTTCCTGGTGTATTCGCTCAGATACCATACCTCGTGATATCCTTATGTCATCACAGGCCGCTATTCTTCGTCACGACACAGAGACTCTAACTTCGCTGTGTGGCATATCTCTAGCAGACGTGCACTAAAGCCCTTGATTCATTCCTCTGGTATTCCCTTGTCGCAGCTAATAACACGTACCTTGCTCGTAAATTTATACTACAAGCCAATCCCTTCCCGCGATATTGCAGTCAGCCCAGCTCACTACCGCGACTTCGACCAAGCTACAGTTCGCGTTACTATAAGAGGGCTACGCTAGACAGGCAGTCTTCATCTCTAGACCAATCTTATCAGCCTACTCGAATTCAATAGCTGCGCTTATTCCACTTCAGTGCTTTTGTGACGTCCAAAGCAAAGCTGCTAAAGCTATTCTTAGGTCGCAATTGTCTCTCACTTAGGAGCTACCTCATATACGGGCTCCCTCATTATCATGCGTCATCTTCACACATCTATTCTGTCTGGATACGCTCAAACTACCATCCTCAACTCTTAGAAATAAGCAACAACAACACCTCATCACCAGAGAGAAGAGCAAAGAAAAAGGTCACGCATAAGTAGGCATAGGGGATTGAAACTCTGCTTAGCACATGCAATATGCAGACTTGATCGATTGCAGAAAAGCCTACTACCCTTCCATCCTCTTTGCATTTTATACATCGCCTCACGCACACTCCCGCAAAACCCAGAACCGCAATTTACATCTTCATTAAGTTGCCATGTACTACCTTATAAAAGCAATGCCCCCAAGCAAAAGTAAGCCATCTTCTCCAAGGCAATATTGGACATAGTATCTCTCGGCCAGGTGATAATGCATACCTCTCAGCTGCCTTATGCACAGAGTAACCATATCACAAAAACCGCACCACAGCTCATTCTCCCACAAGCCCAGGGAGCATACGCATCACGTCTGCCCTCCATCCTTCATCGTCATTCGAGTACTGCTGTAAATACAACCAAACCAGCCACCTCACAGTCAGGATCCTGCTAGTCTCGAGCTCCCCGCCAACAACCGAACGGGAGTTTCCCTGAGCATCATAGGTAAATCAGGCTTAATCCCCAAGTCGGTCACATAGTATATCCGATTTGCTCCTCTCAAAATCATCTCCCTGGCCATCCATCCTCTTATATATATGCCCATACCCACCTCCATCTTCAACTCGCCCACTCACGGAGCAACACCACCTTCACAACCAAGCCCATGACAACTTCCATCACCCACAACCTCACTAACACCCCCTCACCTCATGAAAAGAAGCAAAATTGAATGGGATGGGTATCAATTATATATAAACGTCCCTCAACACCTATCTCTCCAATGTCACACACTTTCTTCACCCCGCTCCTCTCCCCTGTACCCCCTCTTACAATTCCCCCTCCTCTTCCCAATCTGCACTCTCCTTCCATCTCCTCCTCTCCTCAACCTCGGCTCGGCTCTCCTCCTCTCCTCTCCCCCTTGAACAAAACACCTCCAATCTCAACGCCCATCCCCAAACTAAAAACAAGGCAAACGCCAGACATGAACACAACCCCCCTCATCCCCCTCTCACCAACAACCTCAAAAGGAAAACACAACAGCAGAGCACACTCAAAGACCAAAAAAGAAACCTTATTTTTTTTTTTCAAAACAAAAAAAGAATCGCTACGATTATACATTTTATAATCGGGGTCAGACAGACAACCTCAAAGAAATCGGTACGTCCTGTCGTTGGGGATGGTGGTGGTGGTGTGTGATACGGCTCAACCGTCTGTTCAGGGTGTGGTGGTAATATTCAACTTTCGAAGATAACAAAAGGGGCCGCGACACCACTCTGGCTCTCTCTCTTCTTCCCCCTCTCCCACTTTCAACAGCATCAGCATCTTCAGAAACAAGTTCTCCATTCCATCCAGCCCCGTCGTCCATCGCCACAAGTCATCCTCCTCTTGAATCGAAAAGTGGCACACGCGTCGACTGGGAATGGGAACATCCTTCTCTTTCTTCTCGCATACGCCGACGCTTATGATGCTGTCGCTGTGGAGCCTCGTCGGCCTTCTTCTCTTCGGCGGCGTAGGGTTACAAAGGAAACTAAAGCTTGGACCGTGGTGCTTCTCTAGAGGTGTGTGTGTGTGTGTGTGATCGTCTCGCCGTGGGACGATGTCGGAAAAATAATTTCGGGTTGGGAATATGGTCGATAAATACATGTGAACGTTCGGGCCGAATGCCGCGAAAAGGAATTAGGAGAGTCGTAACGTCGTTGGAGGCTCGCCTCGCGGGTGGTGGTGGGTGGGTATGTCGGTAAGGTAAACGTAAGCACGGATATATGACAAGTTGAAAGGGTGAGTCCATCACATGACGATGCAGCAGCCGCAACCGCCGCTCTTCTTCTTTGACTTCTCGCCGCCCATCGACATCTCGGCGGCCGAAGGCTGGTCGGGCACGCGGATGACGGTCTGCGTCTGCGGGGGTTGCTCGGGCTGCATCATCGGGCTGCGGGGACTGCGGGGACTCGGCAGCGGGCTGTTCTGCGGCTTGTCGTTGAGCTTCGGCATGGTCGAGTAGGAGGCGCTCTGCTTGATGCTCGGGGACGTGGGGCTCTTGGGAGCGTCGCCCTTGAGGGGCCACTCGTCGTGGGGTTGTTGTTCTTCGTCGTCGTCCGGAGGGGTGGACGTGCTTGGGCCGGCTTCGGGCGGCATCAGCAGTCCCTCGGCGGTCAGGGGACGGAACTCCTTGTCGTAGATACTACCAGACTTGCCCTCGCGTTCCCACTGCTCTTGTTGTAATCGTCTCGCCACGGTCGGGAGCAGTTGCTGCTCGGGAGGAAGACGTGGGTCGGGCTTGAAGGATCCAACCATCCATGGCGGGTCGCCCTCGGGCTTCTTGACACCGGGAGACAGCTCGCCGGATCTCGTCGTGGGCCGCGTCGTGCTCGTCGAGTCCTTGCCGCCTCTTGTCTTTGGCTTGCCCGACTTGGCTTGCGTTGACGCCTTGCGCGTCGCGGGCGTGGTGTTTGAGGCGCCGCCGCTGCCTTTGCGGGGTGAAGTATCGGTGCCAGTGCGCTTCGCAGGTTGCAAGTTCGGGGTAGCAACAAGGGTATTTGCGCTGCCGCTCCTCGGACGTTGCTTCGGGTAGGCTATCGTCTCCAGTTCGTTGGGTCCGCCGCTCAATCTCCGCGCAGAGGGCGCGTGCCGCTCAATGTACGATTCCGGGATAGGAGCCGGGCTGGCCTTGGCGACGGGAATCTTGGACTGCCCCTTCCTCTCGCCATTGGACATCCAGTAGTTACCGTCCCCTTCCAAGGCAATCTCCTCGGGCCGTCGCAGGTCCCAGCTGGAAGAAGGCTCCAAGTCGGGCATCTTTTCCGTCGGGGCTCTGTTTTCCGGGGAGATGGAGGCTTTCCTAGACCTCGGGCGAGGCATCTCGTCATCAGCGGCAGTAGACGTCGTCCTCTTAGTGCTCCCGTTCAGCTTCTCCTCGCTACGACCCCTCCGCGGCCTGCTACTCGCGCGCGGTCTCGGCAGGATGATGCCCGCGGCCTGGAGCTCCTCGCTCTCGATCTGAGCCAGCTTATCGCGGTGGATCCATTTGGAATTGTCATGCTCGGGGTCGTTCTTCAGGTCGTTGGTAGACCGCTTCTCGCCAACCTTTCCGCCAAAGACGTCGTCCGCCACAGCCAAGCCCGTTTTCGCCGATGCGTCGGTATCGCGGCGGCTCTTCTTGCCCAGCGACAGATTATCATTAGAGGCCTTCTTCTTCGGAGGCGGCAGTGGCTCGAAGCCGTACTCGTAAATGTTGGCCGAGTTGCCGTTTTGCGAAAGGGGCGGCCTGTTCGAGTCGGACCTTGCGGACTTCTTATCCTGAGGGTTCTACGACAGATGGTCAGCGTCTGCGCCGGCATGCCGCTGCGAAACGCGTGGGCGATTGTTTGCCCTCTTCTGCACAGCACCTACCTCTGTGGTGTCCCAGGAGTTTTGGTTTCCGTTGCCATGGCTGCTGCTTGGCGGCGTGATGGTGTTCGCGGTCGCTGACGCGGCAGACATGGCGGCCATCGCGTCGTCTGGAGAGCTGGAGGCCCAGCAATCTCCAGACTGTCGTGAGCGGGTGTTGGCTGGGGAGGTCGGCGTCGGCAGAGCTCTCGTGAAGATGGGGAGTCAATTGTCGGCCAAGGAGAAGGGTTTCGGGGGCTGGCGTGCGCGCGCGATTCGAAAGGGTAGTGAGAGAAGCAAAGACGGCGCTGGAGGAAACGCGAGCGGGAGATTGAAATTGCGTCGTGGGCTGGCGGCTTAGCGTGGTTGGAGTGTGGTGTATTTGCGGTAGCTGGCGGCGGCGGCGGTGGTGGTTCACCGGCGAGGCGGCTTATTAGGAGGCGGCCACGAAGCGGCGCGATGGTGGGAAAGGTAAAGTGCAGTTGCAGGTGCCGGTGGAGGCAGCAGGTGCAGAACAATCAAGACCTGGCTGAAGTCTTTTTGGGATGGAAACAAAGAAAAGCAGGATAGCGTCAGGACGGAAAGCCGGGTCGGAGGAAGAGGAACGAACGAAGGTGGCGGCAGGTCGATCCGAAGAAAGCTGCTTGCTGCAGACAGCGAGAGTGAGCGAGTGGTGAAGAATGGAAGTACGGTGTGGGAATGGAAGAAGGTGTTTTCGGTCAAGTCAGGGACAGGTTCAGCGAGAGGCCATTCGCAGCGGTGGTTGACGCTGTGGTGTCGTCCGTCTTGCGTCTGGGTCTGCGTCGTCTTGTCTCTGAAGATGGCCGCTCTCAGCGTTTCCACAGTGCCCAGGAGAAGGAGAAACGAGGACGACGACAACACGCGCAGGTTGGTGGTGGTGGATGTGAATTGGCAGAGGACGTGGACGGGACGGGGGCAGCGCACAGGCACACGAGCACAGTGCGGGACGCAAAGACGCTAAGCAGGGGAGGAGGTGGGCTGCCCCGAGTACGTACCGCTGCTTGGGGGGCTTATCTCGATCAAGACTAGCGCAGCCAAAGTCGAGGGGCTGGTTGGCTGAGACCCTAGTCCAATCAAGGGTTGCGGATCCACAGGTGCAAGGCGTGGGATTCCCTTTTTCGGGGAGACGAGCTTGCTGATAGGAAGAAATTGAGGAGGCATTCGAGTTGTGCTTTGCTTGCTTGCTTGCTTGCTTGCTTGCTTCATCCCCTATTATCCCAAGCTCCAGCTGATATCCGTCCCGATTCGCGGGTATGATGAAGGAGTGATGAGTGTTTCCTTACTGCGATACTTTTAAGAGGCGAAAGCCAGTCATCAGGCAGGCAGGCAGGCACATGGAATTAAAATAACTTATGCTCCGAGCATGCTCCCAACCTGCGCCTGCAACCGGGACCAAAGTTGCATTCTGCCAATCTTCGTCCCAACTGCTGCACGCCTCGGATCCCTTTGACTTTGCATCTCTTCCTCGTCATCCGCTGTCATTGGCCGACGCAGACAAGGCGGGCACCGCAGCGCAGAAATGTTGGTTAGCATTTCCATGGTGACGAAAGACAGACAGAAGAGGGGCCAAACGAAGCACAAAAAAAAATAAAATAAAATAAAAAAGGAGGGGGATCGAGCGGCAGCAAAAATACCCAAGCGATGGAATGAACCTACGCCAAGTCAAGTCAGATCAACTGGCACTTGACACTGTCTGTCTGTCGCTCAATGTCATTGGAGAAGGCAGACAGCTTGCTCCTCCTCTCGAGCCCTCTCGACAGCAGCTGTGACGCCTCCAATTGGCGGTCCGCAGAGCAGATGCGCGATGCAAGACAAGCTGCAGCTCGACCGCAGCCAATGACGGCAGCCAGGACCGCCAGACAAGCTCCTTCTAACAGAGTCTAGAGCTAGGTAGGAGCCGTGCAACGGCCCACCTTTGTCTGCCTTGTGACGCTGCACATCACAGCGCGGGCAGACAAAGACACACACAAACCTCGCTGGAAGGACACACAGAGTCTTTGATGAATCGCAGGCGGGAGCGTGGCAGCATGCCCACTGATTCAGGAGGGACCGGGCCTGAGAGGGAAGACATTGAAGAGACATGGCACAGGAGGCCCAAGTCACCACCACCCCGCCTGCTCCTATCCCCATGCTCGGGAGGCACGGAACGAGCGTCCTCTTCTTTCCTTCTTCCCTCTTTTCGTGAGCAGAAAAGAAGAAAATACGGGTAGCGAAGACAGTGCATCAACTGCGCTCGGACGGGTTCCATTTTCCATTCTAACCCTTCCATCTGCACGTTCGGAGACGGGGGAACTTTGGCCACTGATGCTACTCCCAATGGCCCCCAAAGCAGCCCCGGGCCAGGAGAGAGCGGGACACTATGGGAGGTGAAGCTCAAGCGAGTGGCCGGTCCACAACGGAGCCGCAGACGTAAACACAGCGAGCTGTTGTCAATGGTCAACATCGACGTCGGGGATATCGCTCGTTAATTGCTGTGGAGCGGGTGAGGACCGTTGAAGAACGATGGGGGTCAAACGGCCGCCAGCCGCGAAGGGATTTCGGTGTTAAAAAAGGGACACACACGAAAGGATGGGTGCTTAGCATAAACGATAAGCCAGCCGGCACCAATCCACCATCGTCATCTGTCACCCAGGCTGATCCCGTCCATTCCAGCCAGCTAACCCGGGACCCAAATTCAACGTCAGCTATTATTGTCTGGTCAGCGATCTCGGATAGTCCTCCCGTGGTCTTCGGTACTTGTTTTTCTTGGGTTTCTGGGGGGAGAGGGTTTATTGTTGATCACTAAGGACGGGAAAAACTCACCTCACCCAGCTGGTGCCGTATCCTGCATAAAAACACACACAACAGTCATCTTGCACAAACCCGCAACTGACTCTTGTGGGCTCTTCCTGCAAAGAATTGGAAAGGCGCACTGTGTCTGGACCTCGTTCGAACTCGGGGCCCTTGCAACTGCCTGTTGCACCCCGGCACTCGTCATTTGCGCCTCCTTGCGCAGTAATCAATCCCAGGAAAACGACTCCAACGGTCTGTGCCTTTTTCCCTTCTTTTTTTTTTTTTTTTTTCGTCTTCTCCCGTTGGGCATCTGGCTCGGCATTTTCTAATCCAAATATGGCGGCCTTGCAGCCTTGGTTGGACCTGAAGCATCGTACAGCATCGCAGCCTTTCCGTATCGCGGCTAAGGTAGCGCCTGCTATCTGCATGTGTTGTCTCTGCCTCTGTTTTCTTTTCTTTTTGTGCCGTCACCTGCAGACCGTTTGTCTCTGCGTCGGACCATTTCGCAAGCCAATGGCCGCCCAACCTCGTGTTTCCTCTCGTGCCGTTTCTTGTCATTCACCTGTCCCTCATGAACAGCAGCAAGACCCTTTACGGTGTTCCTCACCTTCGGGTCCTCACCGCCAATAAAACCCCCTCCTAGCTGCTGGTCCGCCAGCATCTCGCATGACGGAGACATTTTCGCCGGCCCCACATCCGGACAACATCCCCAGGTGGTGTCCCTCCAGCATGGCCCCCCTCCTTGTGATATCGCACCGTCCGAACGAATGAATGCTTATCTCATCAAACCATCAAAATAACCACCACACACATAACACTCACACTGCAAATACATGACTCCATCCATCATCAAATCTGCCCTGCCCTGCCCCCCTTCCTCACCTCCTTCTAGAAGAACCAACTCATCCAAATCTCGCAGGGGTAGGCCGTAGTTGGGAGAAAAGATCAGCTCAGATCGTCCTCTGCCTTATAATTTCCGAACGGGGGCTCCGGGGGCAGGCAACAACACTTTTGAAAAATACCTACACTTGTCGAGGGGAGGGCCTTGCGTTGCGTCTTCACATTGCTTGCCCAGGTGCCGTATAGCTACGGCTTGAGTTCTCTGGCCGGGAAAGAGACAAGAGCCGGCGCACGGTGAAACAACGCCGACCTACGAATAGCAATTAGTGCCGGCCTGCCCTTTCCCATCATCCACGTATTAGCCTCTCTGATGACACCTGCATCCAGCCTGTTTCAAGTGAAGCACCGCGCACAAACATCTCCGTCCATCAATCTCGTTAGGCAACCTCCTAAACCTGCGTCCGCGTGCACAATTATTCTTTGCCTGCAACACTCTCTATCAAATACCAAATTTGCACAACATCATTCATAACCAAGGCCTAAGCACCGCGAGAAGCATCGCATAACATCCTGCCGGCCGGCCCCCGTGCCACCAACCATCCCGCCCCATCCCCGGCCCCCGATCGCTGACCCCCGATCCTCAAAACCATGGACTCCCTCGCCGGCACTGAGGCCCAGCCGCGCAGCACCAGGTGCCGCCACCAAGACCCTCCCACCCGGACGCGGAGGACCCGGTTCGTCTGCGTCTCCGACACCCACAACACCACCGTCAAGCTCCCCAAGGGCGACGTGCTGATCCACGCGGGGGACCTGACGAACCAAGGCAGCTTCTCAGAGGTACGTGCTGCGGCGGCCTCCGTCACGGGACTTTCCCTGCTGTTCTTGCCTTCTTCCAATGTGTAAACTCCCCTCCGCCGGGAACTGTGTGGGAGCACCACTTCGTTCGCGCAGAGGCTGAAGCTGCGTTCTCGTCTGGGATCTTCGCGGTAGTGTGTAAATAAACAACACCGAGCTTACTTGCCACCACCATCACCATGTTTACTTTCTGTACGGATACCGCACCCGGCTAACATTACAACAGCTATCACGAGCAGTAACCTGGCTCGAAAAGGCCCCCTTCGAAGCCAAGATCGTCATCGCAGGAAACCACGACCTCACCCTCGACGCCCCCTTCTACGCCCTCCACGGCCCCCATTTCCACAACCAAGCCCCGCAGTCCCCCTCCGACTGCCTCGCCCTCCTGACCTCCTCCCCCAGCATGACCTACCTCAACCACGCCTCCGCCAAAATCACCCTCACCTCCCCCTCCGGCCCGCGCACCTCCTTCTCCGTCTTCGGCTCCCCGTACTCCCCGCGCAACGGCCTCTGGGCCTTCTCATACGACACCCCGCCACAGAGTCAGACTACCCTGACGGCAGCGGACCTCCCCGCGCTCTGGGACGACATCCCCCTCGACGCGGACGTCGTCGTCACGCACACCCCGCCGCGCACCCACCGCGACGAGTCCCGCCTCCGCCGCGCAACGGGATGTGAGGCCCTCCGCCGGGCGCTATGGCGCGTGCGCCCAAAGCTGGCGGTTTGCGGGCATGTCCACGAGGCACGGGGGGCGGAGAGGGTGACTTGGGATCTCGGGTGCGCGAACACGGCGTTCAAGGAGGACGGGATTGCCGGGTGGGAGGATCCTGGGGTTGGGGGGAAGCAGTCGCTTGTCGACCTGACGGCGAGAGGCGGACGGGTGTTGGAGAATGACGGGTCGGTAACGGCGGGTGAGGGTTTGAAGACGGAAGTTGTGGGGGATGTGAGAGGGTTGGGGGGCGATCCGGCGAGTGTGAGAGCTGATCGGACGGCGTTGGTGGGAAGGTTGGGCAGGCGGGAGACGTGTGTGGTGAATTGTGCTATCATGGCGAAGAGTTGGCCGCATGTTGGAGGGAAGACGGTGAATAAGCCCATTGTTGTGGATTTGGATTTGCCTGTGTGGGAGGAAGAGTAGGTCTGGGATGGTGAGGCAGACTCGTGATGGTGTTGAACGGAATAGGGCCCTAGGATTGCTCAAGTAGACCTAGACTGAGGGGGCAGTGAAAAATATCTTGGTGTTATCGTTAGATGCCTTTAGCTGCTGATCAGGGTGAGATCTCAGAGATCTCTACATCACGACGAACGACGACCCCAGTGCTGAGTAGGGGCGAGTTGTCAGTTGTCTGAGGATGATGATGAACAGATGACGAAGGCGATGAGGACGGTGAAGATGGCAAGGGTGACAAGGACGACGGGCTATCTTTGCGCGCCTAAAGTGGTATCTCTGCTGTCGGAGTTTCCCTCCGCTTCCCTCTATCTGTTTGTGACTCAGACCACGGGGGCCATAATTCGTTCTGAGCAACTTGCTCACTTTCGAATGCCGTTTCCTGCCCTGAAGCTCTCCAAACCCCAACTCGTCACGACCAACTCCCCTTCAACCGATCCCTCGGCCCCTCCATCTCCTTTTTCCGTCTGTCAAACAGACCTCTTCAGCAAGGGCCCAGAGACTGAGCGCTCCAGGTGTTGGGAAGGTACAGCACGTCGATGCCGCACGAATCCGTCACCTGGACGAAGAAGTTCTTGCCCGAGGCCAGGATGTAGCCGCCGTCGGTCTTGGAGATGCACCCGCTGCCGACCTGCACGTCGAAGTCGTTCTTGAGGGCGACGTTGCAGTCGGCGAGGGCGCTGGCGGCCAGGAAGATAGCGGGGATGGCGGCTGAGAACTTCATCTTGTCTGTACAGTTGTTAGTTGATGGGTTCTTGTCTTGGTTTTCTGAGCGTGACAAACGGTTGGAATGAGCGGGATGGTAAGTGTAAGATATGTAGAACGAGTGATGTATTGTTTAGTCGCCGGAAAAAGAGTGACGGTGGTTGAAAGAGAGGACAAGCGCAGGAATTGCGAACATGATGTAGCAGCATATTTGAACGCTCGCAATCGGTTTAGATCGTCAAACGCGTGGGAACTACGGGTCATGATCATGAGTCGTTTGCCGGAACGAAAGCGAGCTCGGGGTCCGCCCCGGGCCCATGGCATAGGTACGTGCTTCCTGCTCACATGAGCCGGTGGATACACAATTTGGGCGAAGTCATGGACTAATAGCTCTGCCCCGCTGAATAGGACATAGAATAGTAATCAACGGACTTCTCTAATTTCCTGTACTGCCGTACGATACATTTGTCGAGAAGCATTGTGTTCTCCGCGTCAGCACCATCTACGGTATTAGGGATTCGGGAGGAATATATCCACATTTAAGGCAACAACACATCATAAACGAATATTGGCAGGTGCTAGAAAAGATATAAGTGCTGCGTTCAATTGAGATCGCTATCTATCTGGAAAAGAAATATCTGGCTTGCAAAATGCTAGAAAATATGAAAGCAAACTCCCCTGAGGGCGATAATCTAGTTGGGGCATGATAACATAAGAAAGACGAGCCGGCATACGGTATGCTGTGCAACTCTACCAAGCAAAAGTTGAAGGAGAACATCAAAGCCAGGTCTTCCTCTGTGGTTGTTGTGTGCTTATCTGAAGCCTTTTGGCGTTTTCAAACACTCTGTCAAGCTTCCTCAAGTCCAAATCCTTGATGGCTGGATACACCCTCTCCTTCCTCGGCGTCTCTCCCTGTTGCAGCAACCCCTTCTCAATCATCTCCTCCAGCAAGTCCTTCTTCATCCCCTCCGGAGTAAGCGGCGAATGGTAGATCACATTCAGCCCCTGGGACTGCATATCCCCCACGTGGCCAGTGCCCTTGTTGTCGTGCAAGTGCGGGTTGCGAGTCATGTGTTGGTGGATGTGCACCAGACTCGCGGCCGCAGCCTTCGCATCGCCGCTCTTCCCCATCTGCTCCAGCAGGAAGATGTACTCGTACGGCTCCACGGCGAAGCCACCGGCCATCTCCATCTTCGTGGCCAGCGCCATTGTCATTGCGTGCTCGCCCGCGTTGCCGGTCTCAATAATGTTGGTGTACGTGCTGTCGTTGCCAGTTTCTCGGTAGATCTCCTCGAGGAGCCGGTTCAGCCACCCGTTGACGACCTCGGAGCACCGCCCGCGGCGCTCAAAGACCCATTCGTTGTCGCGGTACTTGGGCTTCGAGCCCCAGGATATGCGGACCATGGCGTCGGCTGACTGGGCGAGGTAGAGCCCCGAGGCGAAGGACTTGCAGTACTCGAAGGCGGAGCCGGGGATGTAGTTGTCGGCGTCGATGAAGCCGAGGTACTCGCAGCCCTGCATGGCGGCGAGGGTCATGCCCATGAGCATTCCCTCACCCTTTCCGTTGCGGATTGTTGGGATGGCAGTGGATGGGTCGATGAGATCGGGTGCGCCTGCGGCTTCGAATGCTTCCGCGGCGGCTGGGTCTTTCTGGTGGATGGCGATGGCCTGGCGTCCTGTCAGGCGGCAGAAGTTCTTCAGAAGACTGACTTCTATTCTGTAGTTGTCGACTCCGCCGTGTTCTCCTCGGCTGCTGTTGGAGACGAATATGATTGTGCAGCCGTGAGGGATGCCGGCGAAGAGGTCGTCAATGACGTTGGGCTTTTCGTTCATGCAGAGGATGATGATGGCCATCTTGGATTCGATAGCGAAGAGCTTGTCCTGGGAGACGGTCTGACTGAAGGGAGTGCTGTGGCCGTACCCAGCGTCCATCTCCAGAATGCGCTGGAGATCATGGACAAGTACTGAGCCGACTTGCTCGAACCTCTTGGCGACTTCGAGTCTCATGACGGTGGTTAAAGTAAGAATGATCTGAAAGGGGAAGTAAGATGTCTAGCGAGGGAAGAAAGTGATGCCTGATGGTGTCTCTCCATCCTGAATCCTTCGAAAAGATGCAGTTTAAATAGAGAAACTTTCCTTTATCAAGCCTTCCACCGCCGTGCTTCACCGTACTCATGCGAACCGGTCGACATATTGGCCTCCTTCTCCCCGGGCCAACTTTCAAGGCAGCAATTCCAATTAGTACCACACAGCGACTTTCAAAACCGACACAGCAATAGTGTGCCGACAAAGATTTCCCATTGGCGCCGCGAACCGCAAGGCATCGAGTGCTTTACCCTGCAATAAGCGTTGTTCATGTGGCCTGCCTGGGATGTGTGAGATGCGGCCTTTCCATACTGTCGGGAGCACTCACCGATGCGGTGGGTTTGGGGGCTATTTCCCGAGCGTCTGGGTCCGAAAGTACGCCAGTAAATACCGAAAACTTGGATGCCTGCATTTTTGGACTAGATGTTTGTGGAGGGTAAGACAGACGGTGACGGCCGGAGTTGGCCGACGCTGAAAAGGGAGTGATTTCGTTCGCCCCTATTCGCAACCTTTAGCCCCCAAAAATCGTTCGACCCGCGAACATTTCTGTGAGCGGGTAAGACACCCGGAACAGTGAGTCAACCTGGGACATAAACCCGTCATGGGATGAGTGCTGGAAATAAGATTGAGGCTCTGTCCCCATAAAAGATGACGCGGGCACGTCAGCTTGCCAAGTCGGGTACCCTAACCGTTGGCAGCCTTAAACGGTTGCTGTTCTGGCCCGCGACTTGCCGACGACGAGAACGAGTGTGGTGACTCCTGGCCGTAGTTTACTTGCTTTTGCTATGTAATTTAAAGTTTCAAATGACATCCAAATTTCAGTGCCAAGTAGCACCCCGGCGTGGGGGGGGCGCATGCTTGCTTGGTCTTTTCATGCTTAAGTAGGAGGAATGGGATGCTTGCTGAAAAGGCCCGCGAAGCAACGTCCAACCAGATTTCCGGGTACGAATGTGCACAATGCTGACCACATGTGCCAAGGGCAAGGCCAAATAGACCTCTAAAGAGTATCCATCAATAGTGACGCTCCCACGTAAGAGGCGCATTAACTGAGCCCACTCGTGACTGGGGCTATGTCTCGTTGCCTTTACCTATGCCGCATCAGCCACCCAAATCAAATATTATTACGCAGTTGCGATGGCCGTGATGCTATTACTGCTTTTTTCTACTGTGAAATTGTAAACTGTGTGGGTATGAATGATTCTCGACATTGCGCAGTTGCGAAGTCTCTATGCTGATGAGGATTTCCGCGCACGTGGGCATCTTTACGACTCTGGGTCATACGCCGAAATACGAGGGTCAAATGAAAATGGGACTTCCATCTATGCCTTTTATTGGTCTCTCAGCTTCTTCGACATCGTTTTTTTTTTTTTAACCCAAATCAGTCGGCTTAGAAATGGTGAAACCCAATGTAGGTAAGGTAGAGTCTATCTCTCGTAACTACCGTCATGTGTTGATTGGCGGGAATTATTCGACTTGCCTCTCACGAGAATTTCGTCCCAAACTTTTCCGAATTTCAACCTTTGCTGTGAGTCTCGCTGTTTCCAGAATCTCAGGCTACAAATTCCAACTTCAAAACATTTGCGCCTAATTTCCTTACACTAAAGAAAAAGCATATATACTGCCAGTTTGAGTGTTGAGTATCAAACATGTAAGACTTCCACCGCAGCGAGCGATATGAAACTTTTATTTCTGGCAGCTATATAATGGGAAGAGAAAATAGAATGGCAAATTTGTAGAAGCTAAGGAATAGTCTTTCCCGTATCAACGTCGTTTTCTGAGAGATAAAGTCCCAGCAAAAAAACAGTGAGGTATATTCTGAAAATTTCTGAAAAGAATATTTAATATTAAACGAGATTTAGTTTGTCGTTCATGCTTAAGACTTCTTTCTTTCACGTATTTATTATCGTATCAATTGAAAATTAGCGCAATCAGAATATGCGGGGTTTAAATTGTGGCCTTGAGACTTGATTTGCTACAAGATGTTTGTATTACTCTGAGGATGAAAGACCTGCTTTTGTTTCTACGCGTCGCCTTTGCTGGTATACACAGACGGCAATGCTAAGCTTGCCAACTTAAGCAACCATGCCAAGGCGCACAACATTCAGCACAGGGTGTAACCTCGGACTGCCACGACTGTCCTATGACACCCAGCCCCATCATTTGCAGTCTAATGTGGTACAGCAATTCAAGGTTGAAGTACCCTCGCCTCCGCAGCTGTTGAAGAACGGCTGTGCGCAAGTAGCGCCGCTTGTGAACGATTTACATTTGGCTGATACGAGAGAAGGTCCGAGTAACGCTGCAACTGCGGCAACTACATGGCGGGAGATATGCATCTTTAAGGTTTCGCTGGGCTGAGTCTTATTCACCTTATGTAAGGCTAGTGGTGTATTGCGAGCGCGAAGGAAGCACTTACGAGTTTTGATTGCTTTTCTTAAGGAACCCTAGTATCGATGCTTTAAAGAGAGTGAAGAGCGGGAAGTGACTGAAAATGTTGCGATGGTGGTCTAAAGTAGTTCCGTGGCTGAGAGAAGACGAGACCGGCCTTTAAATATTTCGACCATACGCCATCTCTGATTCAGTATCGACAACATCGCAAGATAATTCGCTGAATAGCTTTACCACCAAGCTGGTACGGGCTATCTGAATCACCCCGTCTATCTGATACAAAACGTTGCAAAGTATCCCACCGGGCGTGCATCGTTACCATACGGCCGGCACCCGATGGGATGTCAGTAGTGGTAGGTTTACGGAAATTCTCGTCTCAACGTCGGAACAAAGACTGGACTAGATCGGTATCAATCGAAATGCGACGAACCACGCGGTTCGAAAAACTTAAAGAAGTATGGGAATCGTCTCAAGGCCTGTCCTGAACTTGGCATGCCACGACACTTTGACCAAGTGAATGGGTTGTAAATCCCTGGTGGTTTTCAAAAGTCTCCGGCTCACCACCTTTTTCCGCGGCGTCTTCCTGACCATCTCGGTGACCCGGTGGCATCTGCCATGCCGATCCACCGGCCCAGCGCCAGCCCTTAATAATTCGACATCCCGACGCTGCCTCGTTCACTCGGAGTGCAACCATTCCCATACGTGCATGATTCATCTAGTTGGGAATCGACGACAGCACCTCATCCCTAGACTGGAGTTCGTTCTCTTTCCGTCTTGCTCATGAACGACAGGAACGTGACTCGTGAATGCAAGTCAAGCTTAGCCAGGAACAACTGACCATGTCTCTCCTGTGAATTTCAAACGTCCAGCCAGCCTCAGTGTCTCTGGGTCAACATAGACCTTAAGACCTATGTCCTTTTGCCCAAGATTGTACACCCGGAAAATGACATACACTGTGTCGCTATCGTCTGTAACAAGATTGTTTCTCATCTTTGGCATCCAATATTAGAAGCTTGTTTGGGGCTGATGCGAGCACTCAAGGTTGTTCTGCAGACTTACTCTTTGATACTGGGCTTTGCTCATGTAAAACGCTGTTTCGCAAGACAAGGTTGTCGTCTTGACTTCTATGAAGTACTTGGGGCCACGAGGTCGCGAGAGCCACCGGGTCTCGAGGTAGCCTTGTCGAACAAACAGGGACGTCAGCTGCTTACTGACGTCTTCGTACACTATGTCGGAGGTCTCTCGACCGCTCCAAGGCTCCATCAACGCGTAGTCTGGATGCACTGTCACGTATCTGCGGATGTTACTTTGCCAGTTGTCTCTGGAGAACTCAGGCAGTGGGGGCAAGGGCACATCTTGGTCCGATAAGTGAGAAAGCAACTCAAAGACCTGGCAAGGGCTAGTAAGTCGTCTAGTATAGTCATGATTCAGGGTGAAAACTTACATAGAGCTCTCCCGCTGCGCCAATCTTGCAGTCTCGTTCTATCTGACTCGCCGAGCGCAATCCGAGTTCTGCGTCGTCTCTAGTGGGCTGAAGATCCGTGTATAGTTGACTAAGATCAAAGGCTCCGCATAACGGCAACGCATTTGCCCTTGGTTTTTGGCCTGCGGCGATCACCTTGCTCAAAAGTGCAGCATAGGGAGCTTGGCTACTGGCGTCATTCCGAGAACCCCCAGATAAGGGAGTCCATGAACCTTGTGAGGGGGTGTTTGATGTCCAGGCCGAACTCTGTGCAGACATCGAGCGATTGACTGTTGCGCTGACTACAGCATGTTGGTTGGTTGAGGAACTGGACGCAAAGGCCATGCGTATTTCCGCATCCTCCGCCTCGCTCCCACCCCGACCATTCGCGTTGTTGTCTGTTCTCGTATCTGCAACTGATACTGCTGTTTCTGAAGAAGCCGTGTCCAGGGCTACATCCTCGTCAACGTTCGCAACTTGGACTTGTGCTATGCCATTGTCCTCAAGGGCTCGATCGAGCATTGCAAGCGGTGCCAGAAGGATGTTTTTTGTAGCATTCATGGCGCTGTTTGTGACGTTTTGAGACACTTGCGTGACAGGGTGTCTCATCATACAGTCGAGCAGCTTGTCTGGCAAAAGATTGGTGAACATATACTCCTGATGATCTTTGTCTCGTGGCACGTATATCTTGAGACCAGATTGAGTCTCGTCGATGTGCAGGCTTGACTTTTCTCCTTCGACAGCAAAAGAAGTCTCGCCTTGCACGAGACAGAGACCTGAAGAGATTCCGTCAGTTTCATATATTCGTGCTGACCGTAGAACAGCGAGGAGGGAATCCATGTCTCGACTGTTTTGCGAACGAGGGCTGTCGAAGTGTGCCGCAACTCTTTCTATGGGATCAGCATGCGTCCGGATGACCCGACAGCGCCTTGGACAACTTACCTGAGAAGAGCATGGGCTCGGTTTCGAATCTGTCGCTGCGGATTTGTTATGGGAGTTGCTGGTCCGCCATGGAAGGAGGTAATTTCCTTGACGCAACGCGAAAGATATCTATCTTCCAAGTGCGTCCATTCAA